GTTTAGATAAGCTGCATTCTGTCCTAGGACAAAACAGTCTTCTATGCTAAGGGCTGGACCCCATTCAAGGTGAGTATAAAACTCTCATTACCAAGTTACTTGTGCGAAAAGAGAAGGGATGCAGACCTAAATTCACCTTTTCTGCACTGCTTAGCCTCTGTTGCTAAGCTCAAATGGCTCAATCCCAAGCCAGGCTGCTGAGAAGACACACTTTCTATGAAAAAACTCTCAACAATTTTACTGGCATGAACACATCTGATCCTTCTATTAAAGATCTCAAGGCGGCCAATTAGGCAGGGCCTCATCATACAGTTATTTGCTCCTTGTAAAAATAATAAAACAGATCCTGACAGTTCATTTTTTTCCTATTAAAAAAAAAAGTCCCCCGCACATTTCCAGTGTCTTTTTTGTCTGAGAATGATCTGGCTGGATGCCAGGAGCTTCCCAGCAGTGTCAGGAGCTGTGCCGATTGCCACAGAAAAGGCAAGGGGAGTAACGAAGTCGTTCTATAATTTCACTCTTCCAAATCAAACCTTATATTTGCCATGATTATTTACCCTTGCTTTGCTCCTGGGAGAAGAAAGCTGAGGCAAGCTCAAAGTCTATTCATTTCTTGCAGTGACATAAGAGGCAATTTCCCCCTAAACAATAATTGTCCTTTTTCCCCCCCTTAAATATCCAGCTATTGCGGGTGTTTCTTTGAAGGAATGGGCATTTAATGCCAAACTTGCTTCAGATTTTTTCCCCTTGGTCTCTATTTGAAAGCCAGTGGAGCTCATTGCCCTTAGGGAAAACAGAACTGATTATTTCCATTTAGTAGGAAAAAATGCCAGGAGTCTTAGATTAAAAGTTCCCAGCCTGCCAATTTCTAACTGGGTCACTTTGAGAAAATCTCTTTCCTTCTCAGAGCCTCAACTTCCTCATCTTTAAAATGGGGACCATGCGATAATTTCCAACCTCAATCTCTTCTTTCGAGGCAAATGTGGAATAGGATGGGGTGGTAGAGAAAAGAAGACCTGGGATCAAGTCACACCTTTGACTCATACTGGCTACATGACCTTGGACAAGTCACTTAATTGACTTAAGCCAGTTTTGTAGTTTAAGCTGTTTCTGACTCTTCGTGACTCCATAGACCATGGCACACCAATAGTGCCAGTGGGGTTTTCTTAACAAAGGTACTGGAGTGGTTTGCCACTTCCTTCTCCTGATCATTTTACAGATGAGGAAACTGAGGCAAACAGGGTTAAATGATATGCCTGGGGTCACATAGCTAGTGTCTGAGGCCAAATTTGAACTCAGGAAGATGAGTCTTCCTGACTCCAGGCCCCATGCTCTACTCTCTGCACCACCTAGATGCCCCTCACTTTACTCTACGAAGGACCAATACCTTTTATTCAGTTCTTGGATTGGTTTCAAGGAAGGAATTGGATCAGTGGAACCTATGTGCTTATAGCTACTATTTCTTTTATTTTTAATGTAAGGAACTTAAGACTCCGTAAATTCTAGTTACTCTTTCTGCTTCATCTCCTCCCTACATTTCCCCCTCTGGCACTTCTGTCACACGGAAGCTAGCTTCTCTAAGGTTCAATCAATGAACAAACACCTTTTAAGTACTTACTATGGACAAGGTGAGGTGGTAGATGTTGGGGTTCCTAAGACAAAAAATGAAAGATCCTGCATTAAAGGTGCTTTAAAATGGATGGTGTTGTTTTGGGGAGCACTTCACAAGCCATAAAAAACCCACAAAACTATTCGAGTAAAAACCATTGGTTGAGTGGCTGATCACATGGAGAAGCCCATGACCATCCTTCTGGCAAAGCTTAATTATCAGTAAACAGAACAGGTGACTAAGATATATGTGAGTAACCAGATGTGACAGGTGAGAATAAAACTAATGATGATCTCTGTGCTTAAATACTCAACATTTAGCCTGGCCAGCCTCTCCTCTCTTCTGTGCACAAATGTTTTTGCTTTGCTAGATATGAAGATTGAGTTTGCCATTTTAACAATCTCCTTGTTGCTGGCTGGTGTCAGATAAGGAATGGAACAGTGGCCATTTGAAGGGCAGACATTAAAGAGGCCAGATTGGGGGAAAACGTGTCTGAATTCATACCCATTATCTTCTGGGATCTTTGCTAAGAGTATCTCTCAATTCCTTGTCTCATTTTCTATGTTAAACCCTATCTCTGGGTCTGAAGCACAGTTGAAGTGAGATCAAAAGTCCCAAGTGGATCAGCCAAGATTTTACAGTATCCTTGCAAACATTTCCTTTCATTAGACCCCAACTTTTTTAAAGTGACTCATATGAATATTTCCTTAAGGAACTGATAAAATGTCCAATACTGTTCTTCATGTAGGGCTTGTATAATTTAATTTCTGTTCTCTAGGTTAGTGGTTTCCAAAGTCCTGGAAGGGAACACAAGCTTACTCCAGTGTGATTTTTCAACTGCTCTCAAAGGGAGTGTGATCACCCAATCTGAAGCTGGAAAGATGGGTCATATCCTGTGACAGACAATTTTGCCGACTGTTTCCAATGCCACATATGCTCGTCTTTCCAAATTCCTCCTCTCTGACTCTACCTTCTCCCTTGGCAGTGCAAGCTCTCAGTTTCTGAGGTTATCATCAGCCTCTCGGGACTCCCAAGCACTCACAGCACCCCTCCCCCCAAATCCTAATGGCTTTAGTATGTATCTTCTGGGTGAAGGTTCCCAATGCAGGACAGTGACTGGTAAGATATCCCCTCCCCTTTTGCCCCATTTTGAATGGGACGGAATGAGTTACATGGGATTAGAGTATGGATAGATTATGATCTATACAAAGATATCATGTTATCTTTCAACCCAAACTCTCCTTCTAAGTTTCCTTATTACTACTGTGAGGTCACCATTCTTCTGGTCCTCCAAATTCTCACAACCCCCAATTTGTCTTTGACTCCTCCCTCACTCTGCCTCACCCCACACAGTCAATCAATTATCAAACCCTAACCTTTCTGTCTCCACATATCCCATACTTGTCTTCACTCATACACACACCACTCAAGTTCAGGGCCTCACCCCCTTGTGAATGCCTACTTGTTCGTCCTTTGTTCTCGAAGAGGACCATGACATCAGGCAGGCAATGCATGACATTCAAGAAGACTGGATATAAGTGAGGGAGGGCTGTGCCAAGTCACCAGCCTCACTCTCTCCTACAGAGCCATCTGGGTCCAGCGGTGAGATACAGATCAGGACTGGAGATGGCCCCCATACTTGCTGCAATAGCCAGTAATTGGTCTCCCTGCCTCAAGTTTGTCCCCTCTCCAATCCACCCTTCTCTATACAGCTGTCAAGCCATTTTCCTAAAGCACACTTCAGCCCCCTACTCAAGAAATCTTAGTGGTTCCTTATTGACTCAAGTATCAAATATTTTGTTTTTATCTTTTTCCTTTTTAAATTTCTATTTTGGTGGATCCTTTATAACTTACATACTTATTAGTAATGTGCACAATTTATAAGAAAATATATGCATACTGGGGGGTGAATGCGCTCCAGTTCTTTAGTGAGAAGCTTGTGATCAAAAAGAAATTGGACAGGGGCAGCTAGGTGGCTCAGTGGATAGCGCACTGCCCTGCAGTCAGGAGGACCTGAGTTCAAATCTCATCTCAGACCAGACACTTGACACTAGTATGTGATCCCACTTAACCCCACTGCCTCACCAAACAAAACAAACAAACAAAAGTTGGTGACTACTGCTTAAGACGGTCAACTTTTTCTTCAGCATAATAAAATAATCCTAGGCTCCCAAAATGACCCTCACTTGTACCGAGTTTTACCATCTACAAAGTGTTTCTCATTGATCATTATAACAAGTTGTTATAGTGGAGAGGAACAATTGTAGGTAATATCATAACTGTTTTATAGATAAAGCACCTAAGAGGTGAAGGGGCTTAAAGAGGAGGTGGCACAACTCATAAATGGCTAAACCAGGAACTAGCCTGCAGCTAGGGAAATAAAGTAGATAGCTACAGATCCAGAGTCAGGAAGGACAAGAGTTCAAATCCTGCTTCAGACACTTACTAGTTCTGGGACAAGTCACTAACCTCTCAGAGACTTGTGTGGTTTTTTTTTTTTTCCAATCTGTAAACTGGTGATAACAACAGCACCTACTGCAAAGGGTTGTGAGGACCAAATGCAATCTATACACATACATACAATGCATATACACTCATACATAAGTACACACATATTATAGATATCATATATTTATATTCACTGATATGTCTCTATTACCATTCACCCGTTTATCTATCCATTCAACCAATTATCCACCTATCTACCCATCCATGATCCATCTATCATCCATCTCTCTATATATCAATTTATCCAGCCATTATCCATCTACCCATCCAACCATCCACATATCCATCTATCTATCCATTCATCATCTATCTTACATAGCCATCCATCCATCCATCCAACCATCCATGGTCCATCTATATATCCATCTATCCAGCCATCATCTACCTATGTACCCATCCATCCATCTACATATCCATCTATCCATTCATCACCTATTTTGCATATCCATCCATCCTCCATCTCTCTATATATCGATCTATCTAGCCATTATTTATCCATCTACCCATCCATCCCTCCACATATCCATCTATCTATCCATCCATCCTCCATCCCTCTATATATTGATCTATCTAGTCATTTATCTATCTACCCATCCCTCCCTCCACATATTCATTTTCTATCCATTCATCATCTATCATAGCCATCCATCCATCCATCCGTACGCATTTGTGTCTCTGCAAGATGTTCCTAAAGTAGTAAAGCTTACAAGTGCACTAAGACTTTCGGGTCACCGTGTGTGTATTCATACACTGTACATACACGTGCCACGGCTCCGTGTCTATGCACAGCGCGTCCCCAAAGTCTTACTGCCCTGGTAAGCCGCGCTCCCTGGGGCTGTGCAGACGTCGGAGAGGACACGAGGCTGAGGGTCAAGGTCTCTAACGTGGGCAGCACAGAGCTCTTTATTGGCATGGCTCCACGCGGTCTAGGCGCGGAGGGTGGCGCCGTCGGAGGACACATCTGGGGGCTCCTTGTCATCGGCCACCAGTCCCCGGGCCGGGTTGAACACGCCGTGGGTGGGGCGCTCGCACACGTAGCAGCGCGGGGAGGAGCGGAAGTGGCGCAGGGCGCAGGCCCCGCAGAAGCAGTGGCCGCACGGGGTGACCACGGGGCTACGGAAGGGGTGGCGGCACAGGAGGCACCGGCGGGGCGGGCGGCCGTGCGCGCCGGCGCCGCTGCTCAGCTCGTAGGCTGCGTCGTCGGGGGCGCCGTACCGGCCCTGGCGCAGCTCGCGCTCGATCTGCCAGCCCGGCTTGTAGTCGGCGCGGTCGTGCAGGAACTTGCAGGTGTCGCCGAAGCCGCAGAAGCCGGTCTCCTTGTAGTCCTTGCACACGTCGGGCTGGTAGTCCCAGCGCACGGTGGCGCGCAGGTGCTCGGGGGCGCGCACGGGCCCCCGACGGTCCCGGGGCCGGGCCGGGCGGGCCGCGTCCACCTCGCGGCCGGCCGTGGCGCCCATGTCCTCGGGCCCGGCCGGCTTGGCCGAGCGGCTGGACGGGTAGAACACGGCCAGGGCCGGGGCGCGGCCTTCGTCGTCGCGGCCGTCGTCGCGGCCCTCGCCGCGCCCGCGGCTCTTCTGGAACATGGGGTTGGGGGCGGCCCGCTTCCTGTCCGGCCGAACTACGGCCGGGCTCTCGTCGCTGCTGCTGCTGCCGCCGTCGGGCCGCCCCTCCCCGGCCCCGCGTCTCCGGCGGCGGCCCCTAGGCGCCGGGCGGCCCGACTTCTTGAAGAGGAAGGGGCAGAGCGGCCCCGACGGCGAGGGCGAGGCCGAGGACAATGGCGCATCCTCGGCCATGGTGGGGCATCCGCTGAGCTCTAGTGCGGATTCGAGTCGGCGCCCCAGGGGTTAGGATACGATGCCAGCCCCGCCCCGGGGACTTAGGTCTGAGCCTATGAAATGACTGGGTGGGCGTGAGGTCACGAGGTCTTGGCCCGGGGAGGGGCGGAGTAAGTGAGCTGGAGGATAATGATAATAACTGGCAATTCTGTAGCGAACAAGGGATATGTGGGTCAACGTAGGAACATACGCGTGTACTCATATAACCAGGAAAGAGATGCCTATATCCATTCAAATAATTGTATATATGAATATGTATATCTGTATATCTCTACTATATCATTGCTTAAAGCGCACATATATTCATATATACACGTGGACGTAGGTGGGGGGAGAAAGAGACAGAGACAGCCTATTTGATCCTCTTAACAAGGAGGTACTACTGTTTTCATCCCCGTTTTACGGATAAGGAATCTGAGACTGACTTCACCTCACGTGATTTGCCGACACCCAAGGGACGTTTGAGGCAAGATTCTAACCCTCACCACCTAGCTCTTTCTAACCTCCGCAACAAGAAGAATAAAAGATAACATTTATATAGGGGCTTCCTGCTCTGGGGTCTGGGAAGCTTGCTCTAATAATTACAGCTAGCGTTTATGTAGCTCAAGGATTCTTAGCCTTTTCAGTGTCCTGGACCCCTCGGGTAGGCTGTGGATTCTATGGAGTTCTCAGAATAATGATTTTAAAATATGTAAAATAAAATATACAGGATTATATAAAACAAAGCATACAGGATTCCAAAGGAACCTAATTATACTGAAAGTCAGTTATCGGATCTGTGGTCAGTGTAAATCACTATTGAATTGGACAAATGCAAATCAAAACAACTCTGAGGTACCACATCACACCTATCAGATTGGCCAACTTGACCAAACAAGAAAATGATAAATGCTGGAGAAGGTGTGGGAAAATTGGAACACTAATGCGTTGTTGGTGGAGCTGTGAACTGATGCAATCATTCTGTAGAGCAATTTGGAACTATGCCCAAAGGGCTATAAAAATGTGCACACCCTTTGACTCTGCAATACCATGTGTAGGTCTGTATCCCAAAGAGATCATACAAATGGGAAAAAGACCCACATGTACAAAAAATATTTATAGCAGTTCTTTTTGTGGTGGCAAAGAATTGGAAATGGAGAGGATGCCCATCAACTGGGGAATGGCTGAACAAGTTGTAGTATATGAATATAATGGAATACTATTGTGCTATAAGAAATGATGAGCAGACTTCAGAAAAATCTGGAAAGACTTGCGTGGACTGGTGCTGAGTGAAGTGAGCAGAACCAAGAGAACGTTGTACACAGTAACAGCCATGTTGTGATGACTAACTTTGATAGACTCATCTCTTAGCAATGCAAGGATCCAAGACAAAAGGGCTCATGATAGAAAATAACTGTCCACATCCAGAAAAAGAACTATGGAGTCTGAAGCACATTCTTTGCTCTCTCTCTCTTTTCTTTGTTTTTGTTTCTTCTTTTTTGTGATTTCTTCCATCGGTTCTAATTCTTCTTTACAACATGACTAATGTAAAAATAGGTTCAATATGAATGTATATGTAGAGCCTATCTCAAATTGCATGCAGTCTTGGGGTGGGGGGTGGGGAGAGATGGGGAGAAAATTTGGAACTCAAAATCTTATGGAAGTGAATGCTGAAAACAAAAAATAAATAAATAAAAGAAATTCACTTGGAATGCTAAAAAAGATAGGTTTAAGGATCCCAGGTTATATATATATCCCTTGATTATAGCCCTCTAAGATTTGCAAAATACTTTATGTAGGGTGTCTTATTTGGTCTTTCAACAATTATTATTGTCCCCATTTTAGAGAAAAAGCCCTTTGAGGCAACGGCCATTGTTATTACCATTTTACAAATGAGAAAACTGAGGTAGAGAGATTAAGTGACTTGGGGTAGTGGTGTAAGTATTTGAAGCAGAATTTGAACTCAGATTTTCCTGTCCACTGAGCTACTTAACTGCTTATGTAGAGTGAGTAATAAGGAGTATTTGGTGAAGAAGAAAATCAAACCAGCCCCAACCAAAGAAATAATTCATTAGTTATAGCAATGTTTGAAATAACTTCTTAAAATGAATCCCACCAAAGACGAACATTTTCACACACTCCTTAACTGGAGTATTTGAGAGATGCCCCCAAGATGCTCCTGATACTTTGTCCAATTATCCATCTTAACAAATGATAATTGACAGCCCTGGCCATTTTCTTCTGCATCTGCTCTGGTTCTAGTTCTCTCAGCTCTTTGCTTTGAAGACTGATATAAACAATTTAAATCATGACATTGTCCTAGTGAAAGAGGCAGCTGGGATACAATAGATAGAGCTGGTCTCCTGTTCAAGTTTGACCTCTCACACTAACTGGGTGTGTGACCTCCCTCAAGCAAGTGACTTCACCTCTCAGTGCCCTAAGCAACTTTGTTCTCCTGTAAATTACAGAGAAGATGCCAGCTTGCCCTAGTACTTACTGGGATTTCTCAATATCAGTGAAATCATAGGACCTAGTCCCTATCTGTATTCTAGTAAAATATTCCAAAAGTGTGCTGTTGGAGTGGGGTGGGGGAACAAAACCAAAACCGTTGTGGATTGGAGAGAGAACTACTTTATGCTTCTAAAAAATACTGATTAGGAAAAGGTTGGGAAGCCCTCGGCTTGTATGAGAAGTGCCTGACCCAGTGCCTGGCACATAGTAAGCCTTTAATCAATCGCTTGTCCTTCCATAGGCCTTTTGCTTTTGTTGAGAAAAGGCAGCAGTGAAGAGGCACATTTTGAGACACATCCTCTACAGGTGATCCTGAGATCTAAATAACCGGAGAGTCACTTCTAACTTGTGTCTGATGCTTAAATTAGTGGGTTTTCCCCAGAAGGTCTCAACATTCTTCTAAAATGCACATTAGCTTAAGTGAAAAATCTCCTATTGCATATTCCAGCTTCTACCAAGCAGAACCTCTCTGGGAAAAGGACTCTGATTGGTTTGTTTTCAGTCCCCCAAGGGTAAGCCAAATACTTTTAATGTGTGGGGGAGTGGATGTTAGCTGTATTGCTGACCATGCATAACAACAGGAGAAATGGAACATTTCTCACCAAATGGAATTGTTATGAGTGACAGGCCAGCCAAGGAAAATCACTTTCAATCTTTCTTGTTTGTTTAAATGCTTTGATTATGATGATTGTAATTCTATCTCCATGCAGAGGAGTAAATTAAAATAAAATAGAAAAACAGCCCACAAAGCTAAACCTGACACTACTGTGAGTAAGGAAAACCAAAGGAAATATCACACTTTATAAAATCCCAACACCCCCAGGTTTCCTGGTGTTGCTGTGGGAAAATAAAAATACATTGTGGGTCCTGCTGGTTTGTGTTTTAAGGGCCTAGTCAATCTTCCCTTTTAGACATGCTTCAAAATGCTTGGTGAGGCTGTAGGTCAGCCTAAAAGCATTAGGAAATGAGTGGGAGCTTGACCCCGAACTTTGGGATTTCTTGCTTTGTGGCTGAGGCAGAGTCCCGGGAGGGTTCCCTTAGGCTAATGGGATCTTTGCAGACAAGCACCGGCTATTACAGGAGGCATATAACTTAACCAGATGTTTTCCAAGCAATAATGGCTGAAGCCTGTGGCTGCCTCCTAACAGATATGTTTTTTTTTTTTTTAAGCAGGAATGGGGTCATCATTGACATCGATAGAATTGCACGTATAATTATTTCAGCCTCTCAGACTATGAACAAGATTGTGTATAAATGTAAAAAAATGCCATCATCAGACAAAATAAATATGAGGCAATTAAGATGGACAGGTAGGAGGACTGCAGAGAATTCTGGGAAGAACTTTTTGAAATAATGCAAAGTGGAAAAAAAGAACCAGAAAAATGGAATAATATACTTATGATCATGAAGAAAAGGGAATTGAGGATGAGGGTCCATCAAATCCTAATGTGGGCTTCTTAGAACTAACCCTAACCCTAACCCTGGTGAACTTAAAAGACTTTTCCCCCGCCTATTTCAGTATAATTGGCTTCCTTTGTAATACTATATTCTATTCTATGCATTTAAATGTTCATTCATGTGTGTTAAGGTTCAAATGAGTTTAATAAAAAAAAACCATATTAAATTAATAGAGCTGACCACTGACTACACTGTATTCTAAAGGAAACACAAACATACCACATGAGCTCCTGACTGCCCTTCCAGGGGATACAAAGGTCAGAGTGTTATACAACACAGCATTGAAGACAGGAAGGACAAATCTTAGACTACACAGCTGAGCAGCTGTGCTTATAGCAGTAAGCTTCTCAGAGGTGCTTTCAACTTCCTGACTCTCACAACTCTCCCAAGAGTTGGGCTAGGCTGACCAGGGTTTGCCAGCACTGAAGGCAGTATGAAACTAAGCCTAAATACTTGGTTTAACCCCAAAAGATATGGGGAAGTCTTGATCTCCAGTCTTGCACACAGTGTCATCGAGGGTCCTTTGTTCTGTGATTATTGCCAACATACAGGCCTGGCTCTGTAGAGAGTGTCCCAAAAGTCTTAGTGCAGGTAAAAGCTTTAGATGCCTGTATAAAATTGTTAAGTCCAAGACTGTAAATGGTATGTCTTCAGGGGACAGAATCTCAAAAATAGCAATCAGGATATAAAAGACCCTTCTGGGGATAGATGCAGGCTCTGGAGTAAATGTACCAATAATGCTTCCCTTTTGGCAATGGGAATCTAGGTTTTCCTGGAAGTTAACTGAGCATTTGGAAGGTATGGGGCTGTTGGTAAATGATTGCTATTCCTGGGATAGCTCAGGGGGATCAGTCATGACAATCAGAGCCTTTTATGTTTACCAAAGCAACAAGACACTCTGAAGGAGGGACTCTGGGGACAGCTTGTTACAGGTAAGTCAAACCACTATAGTCATGTCTTCACTGCCTTCCCTGAAACCTGCGTGGAGAGAGCTTAGAACCCTGAACCGGAGAGTCCTTGGGATAGCAGTTTCTGCCAGACCCCTGATTCCAGCTTAGCTCCTGCCACCATTGAC